GATGGTTTGTGTGCTCACATGGCAACTGTTGAGAGGCTACCAAATAACAAAACCAAAATCTGTGTTGTGTGTGGTGAAAGCTGCTCCTATCTCTGCAAGAAGTGCAACAAGGCATTGCATTTTGTTGAAGCGCCGAAGAGGAAGAACAAGGAACCAGTGGTAGATAACAAGATCACTTGCTTTGTCCGCTACCATAACACCTCCTTTTTTGGCTTGGCAAGAGAGGATTGGGAGCTTCGAGGCATCAAGAGGCAGGATTGGTCCTTTCCAAACTTGGCGACAAGGTCCCATCATGCCATGGGTATTGTTGATCTTCACAATGATGCCTTGAGAATGAACCAAAACATTAATAACAATCCACCTCTGCCGAATCCTCCAACCCCTGTGGCTACCCTCAACAACAGGGCTTCCTCAGTGTAACAAGCAACAATAATAAAGACGACGAAAGTGACGCTGAGAATGATGAGTTTGCTGATCGTCCAAGGCCTGGCTATCGAGCCATGTAGAGTTTTTTTTCGTGGTTGTGGTTGGGTGTTGAATGAATGAATGAATTACTGACAACATCATCATTGTGATGTTGTCAGAGCCAATCAAGAGATCGGATACTAATGCCTAGGCTGCTGCTGCTGCCCATGCCTCCAATTCTGTCCTTTTAGCTTCTTGCCTCTGGAAACGTTGTGAGTGTTGTTGTTAGAAGCGCAGCAGTGGTTGTCGGCTGACGATGAGTGGAGATTGTCGGCCGTGGTTGTCGACAACAACAAGTCGATCGAACGTTGACAACAACAGATGAGTCAGTTTGGGTGTGTGACAACAAGAGATGAGTCAGTTTGGGTGCTGGCTGAGGCTAGGGAATGAAAATATGAGCCAGTCATGAGCACGAACGTACTGTATGCGCATGCGTACCGGTATGCCACAGTCTACACAATGTACTACTAGCTAGTACTGGAAGGCAACATGAAGAAATTGTGCAGAAAAGAAGATGTGGTACACTGTAACAATAGGGTTAACGATTTAGCTTACTCTGCATAAAAATATTTATTACCGCATCTACCGGATTACCAAAGCTGTCTTCTCTGTGGCTGCGTCACTGCCACTATTTATAACAACGCAAAGCTGTTAAAAAGAATGTGATGCAGGCTTCAAGTTTGGCAACTGCGTGACAACCACATCCAAAGGATGGAGTTGCAGTTACAAACCTGTGTGACAATGCCATAATAAATCAGCCAAAAGAAGAGCTATCAATTCACAGCAGCAACAAAAAATCATTGTCACGTACACGGTATACATGTGTACCTAGCTAGTTAGTCTGTAAAAAACCAGAAATCTGCCCAACCTGGATTCCGGAAACAAAATGTGACACTCTAAATTGGAGTGTCAATCCGCTCTGCTAGTTTGTAATTGAAGAAGAAAACATTATTATTGCAGAGTCTGTGACATCATCACTGTGATATTGAGTACCGGTAACCGTGTTTATTCTAAATCCAGCCACCCCTAGAACCCAGAAGGCACTTGTGTCTGCAAGACAACAAATGATGTCAGAGAGGAAAAGCTTTTGGTCGCCCCTTGTGTACACAAATTTTATACTGAGCCTGTTGTCGGGTGTTGATGGTGTTCGTTGATGGTGACCTGCAAGCTGAAAACACCTTGCCTCCTCCAACTGAATGTCCCAGGCAGATGTTTTCCATTTCTGGCTTCAAGCAGCAATCGCAAAGCCCAATTGCCCGCCATCAACATCGAGACATTGAGACTATTTATTTTTGTTGGAGCGGCCGCAGCAGCATCAGACTCTGTTTTCTATGTGCGGAAGCCTCTTTCTGTTCAAGTAATAAAGATCATCATCCATCTTCAGAGACCAAAAGCCAAGAGTTTCAAAGAGGATCTATCATTGCAGCTGGGAAGTCTCCAAGGAAGCGTAGCTAGCTAGAAAGATCAGAGCTAAAGATGCTGGGTTTCGACAACGACGATGATCAGTCAGAGGGAGGGTTCTTTATCGATGACGCCTCTGTCCATGGGCCCATGGATGATAGTGATGCGCAACAAGGTGAGGATGCTCAGGCGTTGCCAAAGAATTTCCGCTTGTTCGCTGTTGATGTTGGGCGAGTTTTTAGCTACTTTGTCACTAACGATTTGTCCCCTTCTACTGCTGAATTAGGGCCTGTTTTGGCTCGTCCCACCCCTCAAAAAGTCCCGACGGTGGTGACCCCATCGGTCTGTCGCCCAACAGCATTGCGCCCTTCTACCAGTCAAGCCATGCTACAGAAAATCGCTCAAGATTTCGAAGAGAATCCGCCACCTCTCGCGTCCATCGAGCTCGTCAATGTCCCTCCAGATCTGGGGGTCAAGACGGCGTCTACCAGGACGTTGGAATCAGAAGTATCCGGATCATCCTCCAAACAAAGTTGCGAAAGTATCTGCATTGCGGCTGCCACTCCCAACGGGCTCGCGGCTATGCCAACCGTGGCAGCTCCCGCTCCAAGTTTTGCCTCGAATGCCCCACGAAGGACCATGTCCGAATCCAATATGATGTATCGTCCGCCCCAGCAGGTACCCGAAGCGGCGCAGCAATCCTTCATGGACGCTCAAAAACAAATCAAAGAGCTAGAAGATCAAATCAAGAACTTGCAAAAACAAATGGCCATGATGCCGCCGCCAGCACCTACAACCATTGGTGGCTTGCAAAAACCAGTGGCGGTTCGACCCGTGGCGCTTCGGGCTTCCCAGAGCCATGGAATGCTGAACCAACTCGCGCAAGGTTTCAATCAGAATCCCCAAGCAATGCCTCAATTTGTCGCGCCACAACCTCAGTTTGCCGCTCCTCAGCCTCAGTTCGCGGCCCCGCAGCCTCAGTTCGCAGCACCTCAGCTTGCTGCACCACAGCCCATCAAGGTCGCGCCCAAGGCTCGCCCAAAACCTCGAAGACAAAACAGCAGTCGGTCCGCACGCAAAAAGGCCTCGTGGTATCATCGAGTTGCGGCTCAAAATAGATTGGGTTCCATCCAAGAGGATCCCCTCTTGTTGTCCAACATGGCAGAAGAGGACGAAGCAGGAGGTCGACTGTCTCCTCATGGCAGTATTCACAACGGTGACGTCGATCTATACGAAGAAAGCTGTCTGCAAACGGCCAAAAAGGATCTATTGCGAGAGCTCAACCGAACGGCCAAGGACAAGGACAGTACGACGTACAACACTCCTGCATTCCAGGCCGCACTGCAGACATTGATTCGCGAATATGATTCGTCCCTGTTTGATCCCCGAGCACCTGTCCTCAGTTACCATCCGTACCAATTGAAGATGGAAGGGATTGGCATTTCGGCCGGCAAGCCAAGTTTCCCAGGATGCATTGGCGTCAATGAACAGGGGGATCCCATGTACAAGTTGGGTACCATGTCCTTTGGTAAGTTTTTTTTGGCACATCAGGCCTTACTTGCGAGTATGTTCGAGCAGTACTGACTTGCATTTGTCGCATCCCATGGCAGAGATGTTTCGTCCTACCGAGCTCGTTGTTTCGGTTCAGGGAACGTTTTGTTTGGTTGACAACGTGGACCGCAACAACCTGAAGGAACTCGAGAATGTACCCAAGAATCTCGTGGCTGATGTCAGGCATGGAATCAATCCAGTGCGAACCTACAAGTAAGTTTGATCTTTCTCCCAAACTACTTTGATTGTCTACTTTTGGAGGGGACGCTGCCTCATCAATCGTTTTCTTTCCGTTGCCTGCAGTATTGTCACTCCCTTCACGATTGAAGCTTGGCGTCCCGAATTCGGCGACGACTCGCCCAACAAGGGTGTGGAACAGCCCATCCATGGTGTCATGACTACCTACGGCTACTTGTTGCCCTACCCGACCCAGAATCGTTTCTCGGTTTGGTTCACCGGTGGCAGTCTGGAAGTGGACAACACCAAGAACGAAAAGTGGTTCCAGATTTTCGACAAGACGTCGGCACCCAAGCGCACAGCGTTCGAGTCAAGCAAGGTGTTTGCTGCCAAGCTCTTGATGGGTGCCTGTGTCAACGATGAAATGGACAAGGATGGAAAACTCTCCTACACTCTAAGCAGGCCCGTGGCCAGCCATATCGATTTGGTCTATATGGACGAGTCCCTTCAAGTACTGCGTGGAAGTAGTGGAACGGTCTACGTCCACGTTCGACTTGCCGGAGGCAGCGAAGCCGTTCAGCAATCGGCGTTCAGCAATGAGTTGCTGCCTTCGCCTGTCGTCCCATTGCATCAAGAGGACGACAACCACATGGATTACTCGTATTCGTCTGCTTATGGAGGTGGTCCTGCGATGTCGATTGGTGGTCCCTTTGCTCCCACCGCTACACATGGTCAGTACATGCCTCATCCGAAAATGAAGCACGATGCAAATCTGAATGGTAAATTTTGCGGTACTCTTGAATATTCCGTGCCGTGAGATTCCGAAGAATTTTCTGACATTCTTTTTCGTCGTTGATCGCGATCCACAGAGGACGAAATGGTCCGCGAAGAGAAAATCCTGGTGAGGTAATGGGTGAGGGGTTCTGTTGCAACAAGATCATGAGGCGCATGACTGGACGAGTCGAAAACGGGGGCGCGGATTTGGTTGGGTTGGGTGCATCGTAAGGTCGCTGGTGACATGGATCGGAGCTTCCGTCGATCCCTCTGCCATCTCTTCAGAGCTATTGATAGGGTTAGTGATGATTGCCAGCAGTTGAACGGACGGCAAACAGTTTTGACGGAGCGAGGTCGTGGCTGGAGACTTCGTCGAAGAATGCACGACAAAAATTATTTCAATCGTGGATCATATGTCGGTATACTTTCTCTCCAGTCAGAGCCAACACCCCACAACTTCCCAAAAAAAAATGGGAAACACGCAACCGCTCGAAGGCTGCGGTGATATGCATCGGGAGGAGGGGACGCTGCCTTTTCCGGAGCAGGATTGGCCTTGGATTTGGGCGATTGATAATCCGGAATTCTTGGACTGGAAAGCTGAGCTGGGAGATGACGACGCCGCCATCCTAGCGAGAGCACAAGCGCAAGCCGCCTTGCCCGTGTTGATTTCTTCTTCCAACAATGCCGATGCCGGTCTCGCCTCAAGCCGTCATTGCTCCGTGTATCTATCCGACGCTCGGCACGCTCACGATGTAGACCTGTTGAAAAGGATTGGCATCACTCACGTTCTGAATGTCGCGGGGAAAGTTGGAGAGGGTGACATGGATGCTTATCGAAAAGCCAATATCAAAACAAAAACCGTTGATGCGGAGGATGAAGAGGGGTACCCGATGTTGGAGAAACATTTTGACGAATTCCAGCAGTTTCTGCGGTCTTCTCCCAGAGGCAGCAGAATAGTAGTGCATTGTGTGGCGGGGTTGAACAGAAGTGGCTTGCTGGTGGCGGCCCACAAACTCCTCGCGGAGCAGCAAGATGTCTTTGAAGTTGTGGCCCATGTACGAAGGCAAAGAGGAAATTTGGCCTTCTGTAATCGGTCTTTTGTTGCTCAGTTGGTGGCCTTGGCGCGTGCACATGACTTGTTGGGACCGGAACCAGGACAATCGGGTTGCCGCGTTTCCGAACAGGCGCCGCCGTACCAGGCCCAGTTCTCCCCTTCACCCAAGAAAGATTTCAAGAGTTTATTTTAGCCGGTAAATGCATAATTTGTAGTCATTTACAATTTCATGCTACACCTGAGAACGTTGTTGGCTGTTTCGATTGCATAATGCGGCGCTGCGGGGGGGCATACCGGTAGCTAACTTACCGTTGGGTCTACATGTACCGGTATCGACCAAAAGACAAAACAGGGCAGTTGCCATCCGGCTGAAACCAAAGAAACGAAAACGCAACTGCGACACCTCCCTATCTACATTTTATCGGAATGCAACACGTCCCTGCCTACGATTTATCGGAGAGCTCGGACAAAATCCCGGCTTCTCACACCCTCATCTTGTGAGGGTTTTGCATGTGCACGTTGACGCCATTCCCCGAATCGCCACGGTTGAACCATGGCTGAATGGTCTCTATCGACTTCGACTGAGCACGCCTGCTTCACGGAGCCTCTGGATGTCAGGTGTATCCCCAGGAAATGCATTGCATGCCGGCAGGGACGAATGAGAAAATCCTTGTTCTTGAAGGAATATCGTATTGGCTCGGATCGAATGCCGCAAATGTCAACCGAAGCATAAGTATCTTTTTACACAAAAATCGCCAACGACGACATGGCCAAATAGCCCAAGATGAAACAGACCAACTTTGCCGCGTCGATTTGCTTTTGGAATTTGGATCCATGTTGTGTTTCGTTATGCCGACAAGCAAGCAATTCCTTGCCGCCAATTTCGACAATGGCGATGTAAAGAAAGGTACCGGAACACATGGCCTGGACGATGGCAATGGTATGGTTCCCTTCGACATCATCGGCACTCATACTCTTGGTCAAGAGGAAAATGACTTGTCCTATCAAAATTCCCAAGGGTGTCATGACCCCCCAACACAAACTCAAGCCCCAAAATGTCGTGCCTTGAATTTGGGCACTAACGAAACTGCTACCCAGACAAAATCCTTCAAAGCTCTTGTGCGCCACGATGGCAATGGCCGTCGAGGCAATGGTTTCGGATGATCGCTCAATTCCAATGGAAACTCCTGCCAAGATGGAATGAATGGATAATGCCAATAGTAGGATGCCAGATGCAAAGCAAGATCCATGCAAGTGCAACTCCAAGTGATCGTCGTGATGATGATGGTGCTGAGGACCAAATTCCAACGACAGGACAGATTGTCTTGGTTCGACGGCATGGTCCGTGGAATCCAGCACGAGTGGCTGAGTATGCGCGTAAGTGTGTGGCGCGTAGGATCCAACACATCCTGAGCAACCTGTCCTTCGAATGGACATGTTGTGACTGTGATTGTGATTGTTGGCGTGATTTTGGGATACGGATCGGAGTGGCAGGGTGTCATAGTCATGGCTATGTCCGTCATGATTGTTCAGTAGAGGCTGAGTTTCATTATTGGCGTGTTCGTGTCCATGTTCGTGATGATCTTCTTCAGCCTGATGACTGTGGTTGTGATCGTGTTCGTCTTTGCTGTGATTCGAGTGATTGTGTCCATGCTCTTCTTGGTCTTCTTCCTGATGACTGTGGTTGTGTTGATGCTCATCTTCTTGACTGTGTTTATGATTGTGTTGGTGCTTGTCATCTTCCTCCTGGTGATGGTTGTGCTGTTCATTCTGATGATTGTGTTCCTCCTCTGCATGACCATCCTGGCCATGATTATGATGACCATTGTTAGTTGTTTTGGGGCTGTTCATGCAGCTACCATGGTTACTGTGATCATGACCATGACTGAGCAACATGAATTCCTTAAGGACCCCTTCTTCCTCGTCATCGTCATTCATCATGAACAGCAAATGCAGCGATTCCTCCAAGACCATGAAACCGATAAAGGTCATCCCCGCAACAAAGTTGGCCATGGGAAAGTCGAATCCTTCGTTCAGGACCTTTGCTGCGTCGGCCAACATGTGGACCAATCCACCCGATAGCAAGACACCACTGGCGGCCATGTTACCCAAGGAAAACCAAAGTTGGGTACTCTCGCTCGCCACCAACTGACGTGGGGCTACCACGGATACCATGCCCAGGACAAAGATGGATGCCGCCAAGACAATCTTGATCGCGTTGTGATTCTCATTATCATCTTGGATTTCGGAGTAGGGATCAGGCATGCTTCTTCTTTATGGATAACGACAACAACAACACTAGGATAGATGACTGATAATGACAAGAGGGAGCAACACAGATTGGTTGGCAGGTCTTTGGTTGAAATGAATGGATCCTCGAGAACTTGTGGTGGGGTCTTTCTCGAGCCGAACTTCTTTCTCGAAGAGATGGAAGGTGGAAGTTCCAGTCACTAACTCTGCTGGCTGAAACGTTGCAAGACGATTGTCACAGCTCTGGTCCAGGGAAAAGGGAAAGGTACCAGTAGCAAGCTACCCATAGAAATGATCTCTCAGGCGTGGTGCTGCACCATACTCCAGTTAAATAAGGGGGGGTTAGGCTGTTGCATAAGCTCAAAGACGTCTCATGTTTACCGGCACGAACAGAAAGTTCAGAAGGAAAATTACAAAATATAGTTGTCATAAACACCCAGTTTAACTTCCTCGAGCATTCCTTTCTTTTTCTAAATCTATGCCCTATTCAACCCACCAGTCATGGCATACTGGTACCTGGAATTGATGGAGATTCCTACTACAATACGGTCGACCTTCCGGTAGCTAACCCTCCACTATGCATACCGGTAGGTCAACTCAGAGGAAACGATTCGTCGCCTCTTGCTTCACAGCAAGCCATGGACGTCGAACTTTGACTTGCAGTCCCCAGTAATCCTCTTTCGAGCCCATCCCATCGAAATTGGTGAATTGCCAGTTGTGCCGGTCCCTTCCCTTAGCCCTTCCTTTAGTTATACAGGGACACGTCTCCTCTGGTGTAGAGGCGAGATGACACTTCCAAAGAGCAAGACTGGTGGGGCGAGAGCTCCAGCCTGCAGCTTCCGGGTGTGCCCTCGGAGGGACGGTTCCGACTCGACTCTTCTGGCTCTGCTGCCTTCAAACGCTGACTCAGTCAAGCATCAAATCAACAAATCAAAGAACGTATCTATTTAGTATTTATTTATTTACAAATCAAAGAAAGATCCTGTGTGTCAGGATCCAATGAAGGCAGGACCAAGGCATGCCAGCAACCGCAGGACTATCGGAACCAAAGGACCTCACATTGGCTGAAGGAAACCATGAAACTTCTACTAGTATCCTTTTCTTGTCTCCTTGGGTTATCAACCGCTGCGATTGATGGAAAACATGTGAATACCCGGCAGTTGTCTGCGAATGAAATCTTGTTGGAGGACTTTTCTGATCCCATCCACAAATGGGATACGATGAATGATCCTGTACGTACCGGTACATTATTGTACATCAGCTTGGACGTTTCTTCGTTTGACCTTGTCATTTCCTAACGATGAATTATACATATACGTGTAGGTCATGGGAGGCCAATCCAAGAGCTCTCTTGCCATTGAAAATGGAGTGGCGCGATTCACCGGCGACTGTGCCATTGTACCGTTCCTAAAAGCGCCCGGGTTCATCACCATGGTCACGGGAGGATTCTACATGGGAAAGGAATCATTCCCAGATATCAACTCTTGTCAAGCATTGGCCTTTACGCTCAAGACCAATGTGGATTACAAGGGATACCGTGTCAGTTTTGGCAAGGAGCATTTGCCGGAAGGACACCATGCCCAAGGATACAAAGCGCCCTTGACCAATTTACCGTCTGCAGATTTTGATGATGTCATCATTCCCTTGAACGACTTCAGCTCCAAATGGGATGACGCCACCGGGGATGTAACTGTAACTTGTGCCGAGAATCCCAAATATTGTCCCAGCTCCAAATGGCTAGCCAATATGCAAACCATTTCCTTTTGGGGAGAAGGTGTCGAGGGAGAAGTGGATTTGGAAATCAAACAAATTCGTGCAGTGGGTTGTTCGGTTGCCGTGGAGAATCTGGCAGCCAGTGTCGTCGGAGCTTCTACATCCGAACCTGCCGGTGGTGTGGCGAGCAGTCTGTTGCTGCTCTGTGTAGTAGGATTGGGTTTTGTGGCTCTGGCAGTGGCACGGCAAAAGCAAAGACAAACAGCAAACTACGAGGAAATTCCATCCAATGAAGCGCCTCGACTGGAGTTGGCATAAAGAATGAAATAGACGTAGTGCCTGCCTCGCCTCATGCAACAGGGCGAGTTGTGCGATCGGCTGTTCGGCAGCATTTGTGGCTTCGACACGTCTACCGGTACGTGGTTCAAAGGATGGCACGAGTAGCATGCTATCTACGAGCTACTAGAATTCATTACAAGGAAAATGTTCTTGTACTAGTAGGATGACGTGCTACTTGCTTGATTACACGTATATTTGAGCCTCTTCCTGTGGTGGTGAAGTGCGGTTTTGGATGATGGGTTTCGTGAGCGAAACAGTCATGGAAGGGCTCTCCAGCATGGAACGTATCAAGTATGGGATGGTTGGGTGAATGGGGCGACTGTGACGAGATGTCAGATCTTTTCTTGGTCCAAAGGGCTCGAAGACAATAAACTCAACAATGCTTCAATGTCGACCACGGCTTTGCGTGAAACGAGAACCAGTCAAGATTGCCAAAAGTTCTTGGTGTCGGCGATTTGCCTCTTCTCCTTGGCGTTGTTGCTGCTCTCCTTGAAGCTGTTGCTCGTCTTCCAAGCGTTGGAGCCGCTCTCCTTGACGTTGTTGCTCGTCTTCCAAGCGTCGCAGCGCGTCTTCTCGGCGTTGAAGCTGTTCTTGCGATGGACCTCCGGCCGCTGGAGCTGGCGCAGGGGCATGACGGTGGATGTTCGTTACATTGGTAGTATTGGTACCAATGGTAGTATTGTTTGTATTAATAGTTGGAGCCCAAGAGAATGCAGTTCCTGCCCTCAAATGTCTCAAACCGTAGGGATCACGCGCTGGATGAGCCAGCTGTCGATCGTCATTACCAGGCTCCGCTTCACCGACGGCTGCTGGTCGTGCCGCGTTGCGTCCTGGAGCAGGAAGGGCTGTCTCCATTTCAATAGAAAGTGCAAGTTCTTCGTCCTCCATGGTCGGTCTCACAATGCTGTGGATCAAGAGATTGAAAGGCTTCGACTGTTCACTCGTCAACGTCGCTCCGAGAAAATGTGTTTTCTTGTCTCTTGTTGGGGCATTCTACGGCTCAATTGGCAACGACGCAAGGTGATTTCGATTTCCGTTGTCGTTTTGCTTACTGATAATTAAATGTTTCAAAAAAGATTTAAGAACCTGGCTCCCGTCTCTGACAAGTGGCCATGTTCCATGCAACCACCCAACAACCCCACAAACCCTGTACTAGTATTACATGAACATGTAGCTAGCAAGTACCAGCTATGCATAGCTAGTACTTCTTTGGAGGATTGTTCTTGCCGTCTTTGTGTACAGGCAACTGGCGTGGAGTACCAGATATGCTATGCCAGCAAACGGAAAGTACTGTAGAAGTAGACAACATGATGTATGAGGCCAAAAGAAATAACTTGCTCTCAACGGCGGTACCTTTTGCTCCAATCTGGTACATACATATACCTCCGATTTGTCGCTTGCAGCAGGCGACTGAAGCGTCATTTGTTTGATTACAGATGTTGCCCGATCGCGGGGGAGAGAAGGTGCAGTTCAGGCGAATCGACCACATTCGAAGGGATCTGACTGATGCTGCTTGATCCAACTGCTCAGGAGTCGAACATACGGGGTTGCTTCTTCCTGGACCCTTCTCTGCTTTGAGAAAGTTTGAGAAAGAAACACAAAACCGCGTTGGCAGCCTAAACAACTGTGACCGAAATGGGAATGGCAGGCTTCGCAGCATTGCACGATAATGCGCTGCCTGTCGCAGCTCGATCGAAAGCACAAAAAGGAGGGAACCTCTTGGAAACGGAGGGCGACAATCATCATCAGTGACTCACGTGCCTATTAATTATTAGCTATTGGTCACCTTCATTTTAATTTTAATTAATAATACCAGGTAGCTTGTGATACTACCACCCGAACCAGGGCTTTCCCAAGTCACTTCCTACACTGGCGCGACGACGGACCTTTCCAGATGTAGGGGGGCAATCGTGGTCGGCCCGCCAGGCTTTGTACTGTTCGTTCAATTTATCAAAGGGATTGATCGTGTTGTTCGCCTCAATTCCTTGCTTGTTGCTCCAATCATTGAACTCGACAATCCACTCGAGATGCATAGCACTACCGTCCTTAAAATCAACATGCACAAATGCTTGATAGCCTGGATATCCATTCATTTCTTCACAGCGCACATCGCCTTCAAAATTGTTGTCTTCGGTAGTGCCAGTTGCGTTAGCCTTTTTGTTAGCTTCGTCGACTGCATTCAACGCGTTGAACAGACGACCGGCCAAATCACATCCATCGTCTCGTTCAAACGCACTGGCCATGGTTTGGACAGTGTTGAGAGAAACAATGTTCCCCTGAGCAACGTAGGCATAGTTCTTTCCTGGGCCCACATTCGCGTTAGGGCTGTAGTGCTTTTCCGTGTACACCTGGACGCTTGTTGAGTTGAACCCATCCAGGACGTTCAGGTCACCAATTTCGTCACCAGTGTATCCATCCGCTCGTCCCTTGAGGTCCACAATTCCATATTGACGAACGCCTTTGTTGGGTAAACCAGTGTTGAAGAATTCTCCAGGATCCACAGAATCAGATGTGATTTTGGATATGATGTCTTTGGGTTCTGCATCGTTCTTCAGAGACTTTGTGGCAGCTTTGTAGACTGCATGGGGGCTTTTGGGTGGTTGAGCTTGTGTGACGAACACACCTTTCCCTGGCACAGGATGATAAAGAGCTTCATATAGAGTGAATGGCATGGGTGGATACTGAGGCAGATTATAGATACAGGAACAACCGGCGCCTCCCATCGCCCCAGTGCTCTGGTCAACAGCTGCGATGGAAAATGTGGCGTTGGTCGAACTGGCGCCTACCAGGATGACAAAAGCGGTGATAGCAACAGAAGATAGCTTCATTTTGTTTTATTGGTTTCGTTGTTGATATGGAGGAGGGGCTGCGAAAAAGGCACTACGGCGAACTTGGTTGGATTGCTCTTGGTAAGAGTTGTCGTTTTGGTTCAGGTTGAAATTGTGAGAACTGGAGTGGCCATAAAATCGGAGCAAGCAAGCTATCGTTCCATTCCCTCCTCTTCTCTACCGTAGGTTGCTTCAGGTTCACCAAGCATGGTTGGGTCAGAGAAGATACCAAGCACTTCCGCGAGATACTGTAGAAGAAACCTTCAGTATTTTGGTGGACTGCAAAATCAGGGCAAGACAGTTGTTTGTGACTGGCAGGCTTGCCAAGCAAGTACACCCAGCTAGCTAGCATGGGAGTTGTCATGAAAGATCCACGGGTATCTCCGAATGGCGTCAACGTGTGAAGCAAGACAAAGATCTTGAACACCATCGGGTAGACAACCCAAGTTCACTGATGAGAAAGGAACGAGAGAAGCCCACTCCTGTTGCTTATGGCTTTGAATACCTATCTTGAAATGCAAACCACGAGCTAGCTAGCTACCGGTAGTGATATCCGACCGAGAGCCAAACCAATGCAACACAGCATGGATGTGCAGCAAAAGAACAACTGACTGAATGCCTCGTCGCCTAAACCAATTGGGGGATAAGGGCCAAACCAGAGCATTCGCGAACGATTGATTCGATCAGGAAACGCTTTGACGGGGTTGAGCAAACATTACATGTATTGGAGATGATAGTCACGACGAGGCGTTTGATGGTCGCCAACGCATTGTGGGGGAAGGTCGAGAAACCAATCAAGCTGCGCATACCACCGTATTCTGAATGGAGAGGAAAGACAAAAGACCCTTGAATTGAATTGCATTGGGAGACAGGTGCCATGTGGGTTGCAAGAACGGAGACGCTCTGCTTGTCAGCTCGAGAATCGTTCTCACCAACTACAGCTCCTCTGAAGCTTGCGCATCGATAGTGATAATATAAGCGAACTGTAGAGCTCTTACAAATCGATCGTGTAGTATCGTAGAAGCGTCGTTTGGCTGAGTAGCAGCCTCTGGAGCGCCCCGTGGTGGTGGTTGCTTCCTCCGGTTGACGACTTGCCGCCTCTCGCCATTGTCTGTCTAGCTTCTTAAAAACAAGGTCACTGATAGAGATCCCTTACACGACAAAACAACAATTTGGTCAAGACAGGACGAGCGCACGAGACAATGGCATGAGAAAGACAGTAAGAGAGCAATGGTAAGGCCTCAACCTGGTGGTGGATCACAAATCCTCTCCCAATCCACAACAACTGGACAAAGCTGAATTATGATTATCAAGCCCAGCCTCAGATCCACCAGCCACAAAGCTGGAATTGATACTAGCTTCGATTCACCAGGCCGAGCCACAATGCTGAAACAAGGGAATCGCCTCGCTCCGTTAACCTTCTATGTAGTATTTATTTTCTCAATCAGATCAACCAGGCCAACCACAAAGCAGGAATATGGGTTATCAGCAGATCGAGATCCAGCCACAGATCAAAGTTTGCTAAATACTGAGTACCAGGTAGAGATTCATGGAAACAAGACCACAGGGATTGAGCTGATGATATCGGACCTCACTATAGAAATGCATGTATGAGACAATGATGGCATATAGAGAAAGACACGATTTTATTACTATGTATTTATTGTATCTATTCACCGCAGCAGAGCAGAGAATCTTCAATCTAGCTAGCTAGGGATTGATGGAACTGATATCATTGGCTTTGAGCTCATTGAGCAGCTTCTCACCGTCCTTCTTCATATCATCTGTCAGATCCTGGTGAGTACATTCGCCAAGAGCCTTCTCGAGCCACAATATGGCAACTGATTTATTCACAACCACTCCATGGCTACCATTGGAAAATGTAACCCCCAAAGCATATGCTGCCCAGTCCGAACCTTGGCCTGCTGCCATGGTGAGATACATGATGCCCAAATCAAGACACTTCTCCACACCCGTACCTTCCAGATAATAGAGACCCATTGCTCCTGTTGCAATCACACTACCTGCAAAATGCGCTTTCTCTACCCATTGAAAGGCCAATTTGTCGTCTTGCTTGACGGGTTCCCAAGGCAACTCAAGACTGATGGGACAGATCAAATCGTCTGCAAATGACATGGCAGATTGTCGCGTCTTTTCGCCTTGCGTCTTGGCTTTCTCTTCTTTTGCTTCTTCCTCTGTTAGTTGCTCTAAGCTCTCTTCTAGTTTACTTGCTATTGAGATACTATTGAAAAAGTGGGTGGGGTACCAGCTTTTACTACTGGCATCAAATTCTAGTACAGAGGTACAGGTTGAATCCCTAATCGCGAATCCCCAACACACTCCTGTGGTCGTCGAGCTTGTCCTAGTCGTCGACCATGCTTACTTACTTACTGCGCTTAGCGCTCCTTCTTTGAACGGACCTTCTTGTCCGACCGTGACCCTCCTTCTGAGTGCCCTGGCTCTGAGTGTTCCACAACACCCATCAACTTGTCCACGTTCTGTTTGAACAGTCGACCTTGGTTCGGCTTCGTCCAGAAGTCCGCAACCATATCATCAGTTGGACACCAGTCCACACTGATCTCCTTCTTTGCGACTCTGTCGCTCACAAAGAAGTACCTAATGTTGATGTGCTTCGTTCGTTTACTACTAGAAGCTTTGCCGTTCTTCTCTAGAAGAATGGCACTCTTGTTGTCCTGATAGACTATAGTTTCTTTAACTACATAGCCTTGCTCCCGAAGGAACTGCCTCGTCCAAAGGATCGATGGCATCAGGTCATCAACTGCTACGAGTTCACTCTCAGTTGAGCTTCTCGTGTTCAACTTCTGTTTCGTCGAAGTCGATAATGGGTAACCGGTGCCCATGGTCAAACCACCTCCGGTGTGACCCCTCATGTTTGGATGGACTCCGAAGGAACCATCAACATACCATTTCAATATGCCACTTCCGTCGGCTTTGAGAACTAATGGTAGTTTTCTAGTACATCTAATGTACTGCATGAGGTGGACTAGTTTATCCCAATCGTGCCTATCTGGTTCCTTGACTCTAGTCGTAAGGAACGATATCGCCGTACCTGTGTCTGGTCGGGCTCTCTTCGTAGCGAATAACACCTTAGCCACCAGGCTGTGAAAGGTGTCTGCCTTGCTCGTTGAGATACTATTGAAAAAGTGGGTGGGGTACCAGCTTTTACTACTGGCATCAAATTCTAGTACAGAGGTACAGGTTGAATCGTTCCTTACGACTAGAGTCAAGGAACCAGATAGGCACGATTGGGATAAACTAGTCCACCTCATGCAGTACATTAGATGTCCCTGCTCTACAGCATCAAGATTGGTACCAGTAGCAGACTCGGTCGCGGTCGCAGCGGCTTGGTTGGTGACCGCCGTCATGGTGAAATCCTACAGCTAGCTAGCAATTGTCGCAACTGCTGTCGCAACTGTCGGCTGAAAATGAGAGAGGCTTCGGGCCGAGAGACGAAAACTGATCTTTCGCACAAACGGTCGTGGAAATCGCGTATCGCACTAAGGCTACCTACCGGTAGTGCTAATAGTTCTTTGGAATTCCAGGTGCGGTGCTCTCAACGACAACAGTATGACTATTGTTCTTAAAACCAAGGCCACTGATAGGTTTCCCTTCCCCCAAAAACAAGAATTTCAAGACAGGACGAGCGTACAGTAAATGCCAAACAAGGTTCCGCTCTGCAGTCCTGTCCTGCAACTCACATGAATGCAGGCAGGAAGTGTCACGATGGCTTCTTCAAAACTCCAAAACAATTGATGCAATCTAGTAGACTACTAGCTAGCTGTAAACTGTTACCCCCGCCACCACCACCATGACGAATCTATCGTTGGAGGAAGAAACTCAACAGCGGCAGGTGAGATCAGAGGACGACGACGAAGAGGGAGCGCTGCCGGTTCTACCTCCGCAACGGTCTGTCTCGCCTCCACACTCGTTAGACGTTCCGAGTGGCGACGAGACGTCGAGGATCACGGATCTACAATGCATCGAGTACAATACTAGTAATGCCAATGGCAATTTATTATATCCTTCCGAGGTGGATGTGGACGATCTAATAGAACACATGATGGCGAACATCAATAACCCACAACAAGAAGCCAATGACAATGGCAATCCAAGCAGTAGTAACAGCGGACATGATGATCCGGCCAATCCGTCTACCTCTTCCTCATCCACCACCAGCTGTGTTCCTGATCAGACCAGCGACGCCGACAAGGCCACAGAAATTGCCAGACAAGATTGGCAAGACAAATTTGGAGCCACAACTACAACATCCAGCGACACTGGCACTACTGTACTAATATCGCACAGTAACACCACCATGGAGATGTCATCCTCCAAAGAAGAAGTGGCTTTACATGTAGTAGACATACCGGACTCTTTCAAGGACCTGAACAGCGCCATGCTTCTGCCAGACACCAACAATGACGGCAACAACAATGACGAAGCGCTAGTACCACCGGGTGCAGTGGCCGTCACGGGAAGTTACACCGCGCGACAACTCTATCCCGTACAGACCATCTCGCAACCGACCAGCGACAACCATCCAAATGTGGAAACAACTCCACCACCCCAAGTCGAGACGCTGTTGGAGGCCACACTGGTAGAGCATGACAATCATCATCATACAAACACAAAACTGGTCGAAGCAGAAGCACTCGTGTGTGGACAGTTCTCCAAGAAACAGTTATGGTATTTGAGTTCTGGTCTACTCGTCTGTCTCCTACTTGTATCCGCCGTCGTTGTGGCAGTAACCATGACGGTCACCACAGGAACAAACGAGAAGGACAACATCAACAGCCATCCGTCCTCCCTTGCACCGACACCAACTCCACGTCCCACTCTGGAACTGATCCGAGAGCGTGGTGTCTTGCGGTGTGGAATCTGGAAGGAATCACTCGATTTTTTCAATCTCGTTGGAGCATACGACCAGCCAGAAGATCAAGTGGATCAAGTCCTCTGTCGGGCATATGCCGCCGCAATACTGGGGAATGCCAGTCGCCATGAAATTGTCTTGACATCACAAGAAGCTAATCTACAACTATTGCAAAATGGCACCATTGATCTATTGCTCAGTCATGTCGAGACGGGAATGCAAGCCGATGTCTGGGAGAGTGCGGTATGTGGCCAAAACTTACTGTTTGTGTATGCGCTTGTTGCTTGTTGGCGCTCAATCCATTCATTCCCCTTTTTCTTCTTCTTTTGATTAGAACAATGTCAATGCTGGCTTTACGTTTAGTGTCCCGTACGTGTACACGGATCTGGTCTACGGAGGCCTACCCGAATACGTGGCATGCGCCGATGACAATATGAATGCCAGAGGCAATTGCAGTGGACTATCCATTTGTACCAATGACAAGACGGCCTACTTTGAAGCCATTGCCAGCAAACTACCAGAAAGTCACTTGGTGAAACTCAATGATACGCTCGGTATTGTATTTGGCTTTGTCGGGGGGCGGTGCAATGTTTTGCCTTCAGAAAACAGCGGTATCATGGAGTGGGGTTTGGGCCTCTTGGGTTATAAAGGTGAGTAAATAGCCGCTGATTGATTCCGTCGATCATTCATGTCTCCCTACTACAAGCTGGCTAACCATGTACCGGTATGGCATAATCTATCTGCTTGGCTGCTTCAGGCGAGTATGTACGAGGCACAGTGCCCTTTGCAAAAGATGTCGTCACGGTGGCGACACGAGATGACGACGCAGAGTTCTCCGACTTTGTAAACATCATCTTGATGGGCCTCTTTGCGGCAGAACAAGCCAACATTACCCGAGACGATGATGATTCAATGGCACTAGTACAATCTGCAAGGGTGTTGGGCAACGAGTTGGCCCATGCCGTGCGTGCGGTAGGCAGCTACAGAGACGTCTACGAGCAAGGAGTTTCTCCCATTATGAAACGAGAAGTTTGGAACCTCATCAATAACGGCACCACAGGTCTACTCTATGCGTTACCATTTGGAAAACTGAGCAACGACGGTCCCGGTCCAACCCCAGGAGGTACCTTGGATCGGATTTGGAAACGACCCGATCGAAAGCTCCACTGCGGCATTCGGCTGGGTAGGGAAGGCTTTGCAGACCTGGATGATGCAGGAGTTTCGGTTGGAATGGATGTGGACTTTTGCACGGCTCTGGCGGCAAGCGCTATAGAGGGAGAGGCCCAGTCCATTGAGTTTGTAGAAGTCATGGATGAAGCTGATGGATACCAGAAACTGCAGAGGGGAGAAGTGGATGTTCTGGCTGGGTTCGAGTGGAATATCGTGAACGACTACAGTGAACAGACCACTGGGGAAGGCTACGCCTTTTCTCAGCCATACTTCTATAATCCAGTGGCAGACCGGGCCAGTTTCAATTCAAGGTACGAACTCCTCGCGGGATTAGCGTTTGCTACTACATGTACGAGCTGTTTGCTTACCCTTGAGCCTTCTTTTTGGAAATGATAGCGTCTTTTTGGAAGACGGTGACAATCGCTGTCTTGTTACGAAGCAAGACGATCCTCAGTTTGCATCGTTTGTTTTTTGGGTCGTTGAAGCTATCATCTACGCCGAAGAGCAGGGGATAACCCAAGCAACCGCCAATGACATGGTAGATGTGAACCTTTATGGTGAGAATTTTTCCAAAATGTTCAGAGATGCCATCTATTTTGCAGGCAGCTATGGGGAAATCTTCGACCGGAACCTTGGCAACTTGTTTCTTGAACGAGGGCGCAATGCGATCAACCTTGTCAAAGCACCCGGCCCTCAAATCTATGTGCCACCTGGATACTTTTGATATGTCTGAAAGTTTGCCAGAACTCCACACGGGCTGCCGGATTCAAGGCAACAACCTACTGCCTAGGAGCGGTCCGCGTTATGTACATCTTCCCAGTTTCTCGGTTTTCCTTCGTTGGCTCAGTTTCCAAATCGAGTGGCGCTTGAAGTTCAAGCAGTCCGGGCGGCGGACCTCGTACGGATGTCCGTACACTTGTTGTAACAGATGAGGTGTGTTGGCGACGGGTTCTTTCTCTGGCTGTGCTCTGGTTCATAGAATTGGCAATGGATCGCATTCCATGTCGCAAGTTGCGACCCATATACTTGGGCAGGAAGAGGAATAAAAGGATTGTCAAACATCCAGTCGCCATCAAGGAGGATCCGACCAGGAATAAGGTGGTCGGGGTTTCTCCCGCAAGAAGTAAAATTGGTCCTCCCAAAATGAGAATCTCTAGGAGACTCAACATGGCCAAGGATAGAAAGTAGGCGTCAGTGAAATCCGCTGGTGCATTGCGACTTTTGTATGCTTCCCTTGCGACGAGCAGGACCCCCAGAAAGTTTAGGATCAACAGCGCCCCACCGAAGAGGTAGAATTTGTCACTCGCAGGCTTGCAGCCACCATAGGATTCAACGCTGCGACCAAAACTGTCATAGTCGTCCATCAGCACCCGTTCATAGCGAAGTGGTGAAAGTCCCGTGATGCAGGACATCAGCCCAATGTTGACGGTGAGACTAACATACAAGGGATGCATACATTCACTGATTTTGATTTCGACACGCCGCATATTTGCTCCAGATTTCAGTAGCTTTCTCAACCGCCACGACTTGGAGGCTAAAGCGGAACTCCCGATGCTGAAGCCAACAGCGATAAGCCAGAGGTGCGAGAGGCAGGCAGCATCGAGCCCGGACGTGTTCTCAACGTCGGACCAATGATCGTCGTTGATGCGTTCGGCATGGGTGTGTATTGGAGTCGACAAAGGGAGGCTCCATGGGAAGACAGCGGAACACATAACAAATGCGCCCACACATAGTTGGCAGAGGAAATAGGGCTGCCCTGCCCGTACTATGTACTTCTCCTTATTGCGGAGGGTCCAGGCGAAGCACACCACGGAACAAAGCATTACCAATCCTGCGAGGCAAAATCCAACTGCCTGGGCCCCACCAGAGAGTAAGTGCAACTCAACATCAGCAATGGGAGGCAAAGCTGCTGGAAGATTGGTTGTGCCGTCATTGTAGACGAATGGGTACAAGGAAGTCAGGTTGTCATCCAGCACAATGGCAACAATGTTGGAATCGAAGCGTTCAAAGTACATGTCTGACCGCTCCTCGCTTCGAGTGACATACTCAATGCTGTAGCGTACATTTTGCGGCAGTCTGGAACCTGTGATTGGATCGAATTGGACGTGCCCCGAGACACCCAGGAAGTCTGTTTTTCGGAGTACGTCGTAGAGTTCCGGGCCAGAGAACTGATCCGGCAAGTTGTTGGAGGCATTGCAGGCTGCCACACCTAGAGAAATGATGGCATCGTAGGCTGCTTCTGAGAAGCCATTGGGGGCATACTCAGGAAAGGTGTAGTTATCAAAGATGTCAGCGTTGGCGTGGATGTCGACAAATTCACGCTGCAGGGTGCTATTGGAAGCAAACTCTTTCATGGCTTCATCAAAAGCCGGAAACGGCTCCACATAAATGTTGAGTGTCCCAATTCCGTGCAGCGCCCTCGCCAAGTCCTCGTCTACGATAGCATCAAGCTGAAAGCTCTCTGATGTCCACTTGCCTCCCTCTGCTGCTATCCAAACGTAGCCTGGTTGCCCAACAATCCCGTAGTCATAAGCAACACGTATCACGTCTCGCCAACTGTGCATAATTGCAAAGATATGTCTGTAGCCTGCCTTTTGTAGATCCGCAATGGTGCGCTCGATCGAGTCTGTATCATAGGCAAACGAAGCCACGGTAGTGACACCAAACTCGTTTGCATACCTGGTCAAGCCGGCGTGATAGTTGATGCCCCAGCTGTCCTTGATGAAGAGTACTGCCACATGAGAGATCCCCATGTTCTTGTAGTAAACCATGGCAGCACGAGCGTCTCCGTTGTTGTCGGGACTTGTCCGAGCAAACAGAGGGGAACCGGCCAACTCGGCAGAGGTCGTCCCGGCAGTAATGTATGGCGTCTCCAATGCGGCTGTCATGGCAAGATTAGTCTTGCTCACGCGAGACCAATATGCCCCGTACACACCCATTGGTTCTAGATCGTGAGTGACGTGCCGTACTTCTGGCATGCCCATGGCAGAGTGATAGTTGCCCGCCTCGATTCCTTGGGATTCCAACAACTCTTGCAATGAGCTGGGGGCCTGGCTCGGAGGCGGAGTGATGATATGAAACACCTTCATGTCTCTTTCCTCTTGACGGCGGGGGTGGTGGACGTCTCCCCGCCCTGAACCGAAAGCTGCCAGGAGTTGTCGTGCCGCTTCCAGGTTTTGCTGCTGCCCGTCTCGGTATTCGTAGGACCAGTAGAGATCACATCCACCCAACAATGAAGGGAGCTCTGATAGAATATCCCCGCTGCGTTCGTTGAAATGCTTGGACGCCAAGAACGTTGCGACAGCATTGTACAAGAATACATCATTGATCTCTCCACGCCCGCCTTCCACTACTTGAGAAAAGCCTTGTAGTCCCAATATCTTGGCGACTCTAAAGCTTTCGTTCAAGCGTACCACACGATCTCTTTGCTCTGCAGCTGCGCTCATGATATCTGAAGGTACTAGTAGATGTGTTTGATCCATTCAAAATTATGATCATCAGAGCATCCTCGCGGTGAGCGAGATTGACTCCTGCTCAACTCGTAAACCTACACCCACAATCTACTAGAGGCGGAGCTCCATGCAGGATACCTCAAGCGCTTCGAGACGATACTATGGTACTTTGAAGCTGTCCCATGTTCCCATTGTTGCGGATTGCGGTGCGAATTTATTTGACAATGACAGTTTAGCAGAGAAAGCAAAAAAAACCTACTGCAGTACACTCCTCACTCACACTTAAGATAAGCGGGTTTAAGATACCAAGTACTTAACTTTTTTCAGAAATGTTTAGATAGTCTAACCCGCCCACTCAATTTCCCAAACCAGAAAGATAAGCTAGGAGTACTGAGGTCTCAATCCCTAAGCTAATACTAATACTATGTGGGGACTGAATGCAGTTAGCACCCATTATCTTCCTTATCTTCCACATCACCATCTACATCCATGTACTCCATATCCGAATCTTAGGTTGCCTCTCTACCACAATCTTAGTTAGTTTGCCTCTCTACTACCACAACATCTTTGGTTGCATCAATTTTAGCTTTGTACCTTTGCCTTCTTGAGCTTTGGTGGTGGCTCCTCACTGTCTGAGGGCATGGTTCATAGTAGAGGTATGTGACAATAGCTGCTAGTGGCAATATGATATGAAAGATTGTGAGAGTGGGCTGCTTGTAAGATAAAAACTCAGTGTTGCTGTGGCTGAATGGGTTAAGATATCGCCAGTACTAGACTAAGAATATAGTTATCTTATTGATAAGGAAAACGTGCAGTGCTCTGTTGGACTTGTTATGCACTCTTCAATGTCTTACTTATGCATACTAGTCCAGCTATAATACGGTATGCTTCCGTACGGTACCGGTAGTGGTCAACGTAGTGGTCACCAATACAAGAATAAATGACTCTTATAACGGTGCAGTAGAATGAAGAAATGCTGTACAGGTTCTGTACCAAATCTAATGTATTTACGTCAATCGATTTTTATCTCATTTTCGACCGAAAACTAACTGCACGTAAACTTCTACTAGAGTGATCTGGGCTTTACGACCGGCTGTTTCGCGCAATATTCTCTTCAGGGCTGTATATCGAATATAGTACATGTAAAGGGTGGAATCGATAGAGCACATGTAGCTGAGTATGCCACAAAATTCGCAACTCCATGTGACACATATTGAAGGAGTTATGGTCAGTTGAAGATTTCACCCAATCCCCAGGGAATTCTTTTCCTCTGCTTTATAAGACCGAATGACGTCACACGTAGCCTCTAGTACTAGTTCTACGTAGTATTCTACGTGACGTCACACGTAGCCTCAGTACTGAGTCTACTAGCTCCCAAGGCACCTCCACGGTACTCGTATGTACGGTACCGATCACCTCTCTACCATATGAAGCACATGCTAAGCACCTCTATCGACACTCTTTCTTCCTCTTGGCACTATCGACACTCTTTCTTCCTCTTGGATGTATGGTAGCAGCGGTAGCTACTACCGGTACTGGCTACTACTAGCTTCAAGCTAGGGCAGGTCTTAGTAGTAGGTACTATAGGAATTACTGTACAATCCCAAGAATATTAAGCCGGCCTTAATGCACTGCAAGTCTTAATACCCAGATCACTCTAGTACAAACTTCTGGAAATTTGGATAAAAAAGTTTGAAATTCTGATTCAGTCAGTCGTGTACGTACGGTTGGTAAACCCTACCCGTACGATGCGCTGCCACATTGAGGGCTGGCACTTC